ATTTCTTTCCTCCCCCTCCCCTCCCTCTGACACCCGGCGGGCAGGAGCGCGAGGGAGCACTCTCCTCTGAGTGCTTCCTCTACAGCTCTCTCACGCGCCGCGTACTAATGCGGGCTCCCTCGCGCGCCCGCTCGCCAGGTGTCAGCAGGGCCAGCCTCTGGGGGGCCCTGAGGTGACCGGCTGCTGGGCCCCCCAGGAGAAGAGGCTGGCCCAGTGGGTACATACCGGGGTCGCAGGGCCCCCTACGACCCCGGTATGTACCCACTGAATGTGGGGCCCAGACGACCTGAGCAGTCCGGGACCCCCAGGACCGCCGGGCCCATGACAACCGTTGCGGTTGTCATGCCCTGATGGCGGCCCTGGCAGACACACACAATCACTCAGACACAAACTCACATTCACTGACACTCATTTACAGACACACACTGACAGACACACAGTCACTCAGACACACACGCTACCTCACAGAAACTGACAGACATACACAAACACACACTCGCTCACAGTCACAAACATTCACTCACAGACACACTGACAGACAGACACACATTCACTGACAGACAGACTTACAGACACACACTGATAGATATACACACAGACTCACAGACAGACACACTAACATAAAAATACACACACTGACAAACATACATACACGCAGACTCACTGACAGACAGACACATACATAATCCCAACACTCAGATTATTTTTCAAAGTAAGTCTTTAGTTATTTTAAATAATTTTTTCACAAAAACCTAATAAAAGGAATTCAGAATAAACTGGAAATATTTAAAGACTTACAAATGATTGGAATAACCCTTTAAGCATCAACTAAGTAAATTTCTGTGAAACTTCCATCCCAAAATAATGCTGGTTAGCTCATTGCTAATCCAGCATCAGGCTGTTTCCACTGGCAAGCCCTTAAAGCATTAAGCTGATGAATTATCCTAGGTCCAATCCAATGTGTCTCATAGAAGCTGAGCACAGCCAATCACGTTTCACATAGAGAAACATTGACTACAATGAAACACGACACAGACCTTGTCTGATCTCCTCAACTAGATGCATTTTGACAAACAATTGTAATCATTACAATTTCTCAATTGTTTGTCAGAGTACAGGAACAGAGTCAGTCTATGCAGCATTCCTTTAACATCACATGTTGGTTAAATAAATGGTCACCATCTTACTTTCAGGGGTTAGTGATGGATCCAGTGCCTTAAAACGGCTGCTTTCTCTGTTCGCTGCAGTATGAGGAAGGTTTAACATGGAAGCCAGTGATAGACTGAAAGTGTCAATTTGCACTTTTAGCCAATCACTGGCTGCCCATGGGGAAAATAGCACATCAGCTTGTAATAGCACAAGCTGACACCCTCAGTCTATCACCTGCTTTGCTGAGACTTTTCACTGAGCTGCATTGGAAAGTCTGTGATTGGTCAGAAGAAGAAGATTTGCAACTTTTGCAAGTTTCTTATATATACACACTCAACGAAGAAATGCATAATCAAATGCAGGCATGTTTTCATTGGCAGTATATCTACTAAACAGATATTTTTATTTTTTAATTTGGGCAGTGGAGTGCCCCTTTAAATGAGCTTAAGTTATTAGGGAGGTGGAAGTATTCCCTTACACTCAATAACTGTCAAATAATAACGAAATCTCCTTTTTAATTAGAGCTTCTAATGACCATCTAAGTCTGTCTGTACCATATTGTATCATATACTTACAAACCTGATAAAATCGTTCTCATCCATTTCACCCACATGTAGAATCCATTCAGAGATGAGTTAAACATCACTGGAGATACCTGTATTGGCAAAGACGCCAAATGAGAAACCATATGAGAAACATGAATAACCTTCCTCATCAAGACACTGAATGCACCCCATGGTATAATGCTGGAGGTATTAACAATTAACAAAGAATAAGTTGTTTTATGGAAAAATAATAACCATGTATCTGGAGTTATTATTAGATCTTTACCTTGTATCAAGGATATTCTTTTGTGTACTCCCACAGAAATAAAATGAATCACTGAACACTTAGATTACAGAGAAATAGCAGATACAATTCCCTTGATTGTTGAGAACAAAAAGAACAAAACCCATTGATACAACATGTGCTATAAAATGCCCTGTGTATACAATGTTATTTTTCTTCATTTGTGACAAAAACATAGAAATATATGTGCATGTCTAACTTTATTTCACAATTTTCCATTAATGCAACAGGTGAGCGCATTCTGTTCTGACATCTAATATATACAAAAGGGTTAAAAGATTTATGAGATACCAATTCGTCTTGTTACTTCTCTCTAGTGGACAATCTATGAGAAAGTAAGTATAAAATTGGAATGTTTTATTGAGTTTAAAATATGCTCAAAATAAGTTAGTTTAAGTGTATATGCTGTGGCGAAACAGGCCTCGCCACGTGTCCTTGGAGGGGGCTGCTTGCCCGCCTCTTGCCTTTGGACTATGGACCAGACTTTATGAGAATGTGTTAACCCAGATAGCTATGCCATGGAGCCCATTTGTGTAGTTAAAGACTTCGGCTCCATAGCAATTGAACTGGGTGAATAGGATCTGAGCGCTCTTCAGTAGTTTTGTGCGCTCAGATCGCAGCTATCTGGGGATATGTGAAATGTCTGTGTGTTATGTGAAAAGGTTACTTTATGTATTTTAAAGTGTTTTGTGTCTTTTTGCAACCATGTGCTTAATGGAGTCTTGTGTCTGTCCTGGGAGATAATTGAATTACTTATCTCCAGGATAGAAAACTCTGAAACTGGTTTGGGCCAGAAAGCCATGCTTCATTTAGTCACAAAGGACTTTTACTAACTTTTGAACCCCTTGTCTGATTTGTGCCATTTTTGAATATGTTGTTCCCCTGAATGGATTGATTGTGCATATGTAATTTTATGTGAATGTGATGTATGGTTTTAGAGTTATGAAAGTTGGGTAGAAAGTATGTTTTAACTGTATGTATAATTGGGTTTCCTCTCAGGATAAGGGGAGGGAATATGTGGGATGTAACTGTGATGTGATTGGTTGTTTTGTAACGCCCTGTGGGCTGTACTATGTTTGTGGATTGGGAATAAAAGAGACTGTATGTGACAGTACAGGGAGTTCCTGTTTTAACCCTCAAAGTGAAGTGTCGTCTCATTATTGGGGGAAGGATTCATTGTATGCTGTTTCAGTTTGACTGCTAGGAGAGTAAACCTATTCGTATGGTTCCTATTCAACTGTCTACAGCATTCATATGCTTGAGAGAAGGTATACGCTTCTCTGGTTCGGTGATTGTGGTGTCGGCTGCAGTGCTTGGAGTCCTCAGGAAGCGCTAGGAGCATCTTTCAACGGAGGTACCCAGTCGGGGTGCCAGGCGATCCGTTACATATGCCTTTATACTTAAAGGAACATTACAAGCGCCATAACCAGTACAGCTCAATGCATTACAGATCGAGCACAGACTCCCTGAGGCTCTTAAAGGAAAACTAAAGACACCCAGACCACTTAATCTCATTATCCTTGTCCCCATAACCCTGCAATGTAAAAAATTGCTGTATTTAGAGATACTGCAATGTTTACATTGCAGTGTTAAGACTACCTCTAGTGGCATTGCATTCCTAACACTATAGTGTTCCCATTTCAGAGAAAAGGCAGTGTTTACATTGTTGTCAAGGAACACCTCTAATGGCTGTCACAACTGGCCATTGGGCAAACCAGGCAAATGCCCAGTGGGCAGCGATAGCCATGGGCCGAGGCGGGAAATCACTGGATCTCCCCTGCCGGCCCATGCAGGGCAGCACTGGCCCCAAGAGGGACCACTTCAAGATTTGTGAATCCATGCGTACCGGGCAGCCTCCTTGACTCCCTCTCCCGAGCTCAGATAGTATCAGAGTGTTGCCATGGTAACACTCGGTAATATCGGTGATCGCGAGATGGAGAAGTATGATCTGTACCCTACGGAGGTACAGACCAAATAAACGGCTCGGCTGGATTACCATGGATCGTTATCAGCCTGCTCCCCTGTACCCTAGCAAAGTAATTAGAGGGAGTGGAATATATATATATTTTAATGATTAAATTAAGCAGCCATCTTGCCCCTATAAAACCCACTACACTCCTTGCCATTTTACCCCTATTAACCAAACTACACCCACTGCCATCTACGTTCAGTGTCTCCACGCTTTGAATGGAGGTGCTGAACATTCCCAATAGAGATGCATTGAGTCATGAGAGATGTTGACTGGTGCAGCGTAGCGTTTTGCTGCACATGCACATTAGCCTCCCAGTACATATAATATTCATGTACATTATCATGAGTGATTTTACTCATCTTATATCACTATTCATGCTTACAGTCCGCCCTCTTTACCTATTGTGTTTGGCTGTATTGTACTTTCAGTTCCCCAATTGTTCAGCACAGCACGGAACATGCAGGCACTTTATAAGTGCCAGCAGTAACAATAATACAAAAAAAATCTCTATACTCAAATAGCCCATGTACAACTTTTCACCTCTAAGTGATTTTTTTTTGTGTGTGTGTGTAAAACTGTGATACCTTTTGATTTACAACTCTGCACTAGAACTAATTTGATACGGTGTCACTTTACTAAATGCACTCTAACCAAAGTGACAAAAGTAGCTACCGGTTTCAAAAGCATACTCTCTACTAATTTCTTCTCGCCTTCCAGCTACTTTTGACACTATAAATACATGTTTCTTCAGACTATTCATAACCTTTAACTCTATGAAACAGTTTGCTAACATAATTAAGTCCTTATCTTATATCACTATTCATGCTTCCTCTTTCAAGTGGTAAACCCCAAGGTTAAATTCTCCATTTTATAATTGTATGCTGACATGCTTGGCAATCTAGTGATGTCCTTTAGCTGTCACTAGTACATTTGTGTAGATAAAAGTTGTAGATTATGCTAACGTAGTGTACTAATAATCTTAATTTTAGTCATGACAGGAGGCGAGTATTTTGCATTGACTTTCTTTACTTAAAACTCCAGCAGTAACAAGTCAAACTTTTTAAACCTATTAGAAAACAACAGTCATGACAAATATAAGGTAGGACAGCCCCCAATTTTCCCTCTTTCTTTGGCGTGAATGTAGATAGTCCCTTTAACTGGAAACGTAAAACTGTAGAAACTTGAACATCCTGGAAACTCCAAACTGCGAGAGGGAAGTACGTTCCACTTTTAGTTGATGGAAGTATTCATACTGAAAAGAAAAAAATAAGTGAAAGGTATTGGTAGTGACCGTGATTCCATATCTCACACTTGTCCATAACTACATCTTATAGTGTTTATAAATGTACTACTATAAAGAACTCAAATTAAAGTTTCTTCAGAGCAAAACATCAAAAATATCCAATCAAATCACATCCCCCAGAGTTGTCATTAATTACATATTAGAGGAAACTAGAAGCCATAGTAAAAAGGTAGTACATAGATAAGAGTAGAACAAAATATATATAGACAAAGGGAGGGAAAAACAAAAACAAAAAGGGGGGGTCAACAAACCCATCTAGCAAGAGTGGTAGTCGAGACCGGTTTGTGTGGTTTGGTGTATTACATGAGAAGTTGTCCCGTCGGGGAGCCACGTAAAGGGGCGGTAATTTCCACGTAGCAAAGTATTGTCTTGACCACACAGAGTTACGGTTCCATCATATATATAAAAAAAAAAAATCGTCACAGAACCAGTTTTAGTACGTCAGGACACTGAGAAAGACGCGTCCTCCGGAGTGAACGATGAACCTTCGACATTGAAGGCCCTAACATCCACCACCCGACAAAAGGAGACCATGCAAAGCAGAACTGTCAGTTTTGCTGAAAGCTGACGTAAGGACAGCGAAGCGTTGTCTGTCCATACCCGTAAAAATTGTAATACCATGTTGATGTCCCAAAGTCTCGAGTATTTCGGAGCTGGAAGATGTGACAAACGAATACCTCTCATTCGTCTACAGATCAGAGGATCCTGTCCCACTGGTCGGCCCTAGATCGGAACGTGAGTCGCCGAAAGTGAAACATTAATGGACCGATACGATCTACCCAGCGAGAATAAATGAGACAGAAAATTGAGAATCATGGTGGCAGGAGCTGTAAAAGGGATCAGAGTCCCTCTCCAAACACCAGTTAAGCATTTGTTCCAGGCAGCGGGATAGCTCCATCTGGTTCCGGATGCCCATGAATCCCATAGCAGGTCCTTAGTGATAGGCCGTCTGTAGCCCAAGCTCCCCTGAAATCGTCCAAGCCACTAGATCTAGTCGTTCTTGAAGACCAGGGGATGCGGGATAGTAGGAGGGTAAATGAGGGTAGAAGGAGAGGATGCTCGTAGGATAATTCCAGAAGGTCCAGGAACCTCGCCTGACTCTGCCATAGTGGTGCCAGGAGGAGCAGAGATATCCTCTGGTTGCGTATTTGTTGCATCACTCTCGCCAGCACGGAGAACAGCGCAAGCCCCCAGCTTCGGCCAGGTCTGAAGGAATGCATCTACTGCTTCGCATTCCTGATCCGGTAGCCAGCTGAAGAACCTGGTCAGTTGGCAATTGGTCCGTGATGCAAATAGGTCGGTGGTGAGGAGACCTCTACATTTGTATAATTTTTGGAATATCGACTTGTGGAGATGCCAGTCGCTGCTGTCCCTCCGGTGTCGCGAGTACCAGTCTGCCATGAGGCTGGAGATTCCCAGTAAGTATTCTACGTGTAAGATTGATATTGCGGGAGAGTCAGAAACTGTAAATGTCTTTTTTAGCATCTGTTAGTGCCTGGGAGCGAGCTCCGCCCAAACGATTGATATTTTGGACCGCAGAGATGTTTACATGCGCACAAGGATGCAGCAGTCGGACATGAGGCCGTCCAGACTGTGGATGGCAAAGAAGCCTGCTGTCAGTTCCAGGCAGTTGATGTGCAAATCCTGCTCCTTGCGTAACTAGAGTCCTCCTGTGGATGATCCTGCACAATGTGCTCCCCAACCTCGTAGGCTGGCATCTGACTCCACCACGCAATCCGGTGTGGGACCAAAAATGGCTTTCCCATTCCAGGCATGCATGTGTAGAAGCCACCAATGGAGTTTCGTGCGTACCTCGTCCGTGAGAGGAATCGTCTGGTCGTGTGAGGTTCCAGATCATAGTTATTGTGCCTTCAGCCATTGCATGGCCTGGTAGTGAGGGGGGCATGGATAAATAGCCTGTATGGAGGCTGAGAGTAGTCTTACGACCCGAGTGAGAAGACGGAATTGGATGTGATCCATATTCAGTATTTTCAGAATTTCTTTGTGCGTAGTGGCTATCTTTTTGAGAGGTAGCCGAAGCATGCATGAGGTGCAATCTATTTTGAACCACAGAAATTGGAGAATTTGCAATGGTTCTAGCACTGATTTGTCAAGATTTACCATGAACCCCGAGGACTCAAGGAAGTCTACTACTTTGTTAGTTTGAGAATAGTCTTGAAACCGTGTTGCAAAAGAGTAAGTCATCCAAACAGATTATGCATTGGATCCCTAGGGATCGTAGGCATGCCATGACCGGCTTCAGCAGTTTCGTGAAGCACCAAGTAGCCAAGCTGAGTCCGAAAGGTAGACAGGTGAACTGGCATGTCTGATCGTGCAAACGGAATCGTACGAATCCTCGGCATGACTGTGCTATTGGTACCTACAGGTAGGCATCCTTGAGGTCCAGTTGAGTGGACCAATCGTCTCTGACGAGCAAATCTCGAAGTAGGTGTATCCCTTACATCTTGAAATGGTGGTATACTACGAATGTGTGACTGACCACCTGGAACCCGAAGTGGGTACCTCCACCAATCGCTGCTTCCTTGTAATCCTTGAGCACCATAAGCACCGCACCAGATACCATAACCACAGTAAACCCCACAAACTGCCGCAGCTTGGTTAGGGTCTTGCTGTCCTCCACCCACCCTGTGTTACGCTACTTGGGTGATTTGGATTGGAACTCAACTGCAGCTTGTAAACTCCCTAATTACAATAGTGAAGAAACGGAGAATCTTTAAAGTATCAATACTGTAGCTTTAAGAAAAGAGAGAATCGCTGGCAACTTGATTCAACCGAAGTTTTAATAAGTGTTAAACTTAAATTAATTGCATAATCCAATAAGAAGAAGTGCAAGTAATCAACAACACAAAGTTCAACATTCTTTAAGTTCATGAGAATAATCTTCAATAGAACAATAAGCAAGTAGCTAGGAATATTTGCAGAGTAAGAACAGTTCATAGTGAATAAGCATGATGGGAGTTGTCCTCCATATAATTAGTAGCTTGAAGCAATGAGTATTTGCAAGCAAGAAACAGTTCATAGTGAATAAGCATGATGGGAGTTGTCCTCCATATAATCAATAGCTTGAAGCAATGAATGTATTTGCAAAGCAAGAAACAGTTCATTGTGAATAAACATGATGGGAGTTGTCCTCCATATAATTAGTAGTTTGTAGCAATGAAGATTTGAGTAAGCAAGCATTAGTTCATTATTAAATGATATTGTAGACAAATAGTTGAAAAATATACTTAAGGTTAATATGTGTAGTCCTCCAATAGTTCAGAGATATGGTCCACTTGTAAAGTAGCAAAGTATCCGTTCTCCAGTAATCCTTTATGGCATGCAGCAATCCTTGCATTGGCTCAAAGGCTGGAACAGGTTGTCTGAGCTTGTGGAGAGGTAAGTCTGGTGGAAGTAGTTCCCAGTAGCTGAGCCTGTGGAGCCCGCGGTCTCGCGGAGGCAGCTCACACATTAGCTCACACAATCACCAAGCACCCTCTCTCTGGCCCAGTCTCCCTAAATACCGTCAGAGCTGTGTCAGAGGGGGGCAGGGTTCGGCTCCTCACAGATGAGTGCCGAACCCGGAAGTGTTACTCCATGACACCCTGGACCAAAGACCAGCTTCCAGTGGGTAGACCTCTCCTAGTCCAGAGAGTATAGTGATTATTGCAATCCCCAGAGTGAATATAGCTCTCCAATCCCCATCCCTCATGAGCCTAGACTTCATGAAGTGGTAAAGTGTTCTGTTTAATGGAAACCACACACACACACACCACATTTTGTGTCAGTCCCCATGCAAGGAGTTTCCTCAAACATATTCCAGAGGCATTCCCCACTTGACATGACAGTTGACTACAGCAAAAACACACACATGATTACATTGGCTCTCAGGTCCAGGACACTCCCACATAAAACAAGATAAAACCTACTCTGTGCCTGGGAGATAATTGAGTCAGGAACTGTACTAAATTCGATTATCTCCAGGCACAGAAAACACACATTTTACAACCTCCCGAAAGTACCCCCAAAACACATGAAAACCCCGCAACAGTCACATCCCCTGATAGCCCCGAACTGGGGGACCAACACCCAGATCAGTTCAGGAGTTCGGGATTTCCATGGAGGTCATAATTTGACCAACCACACACACAAGGCTCCTGCCCAAAAGAGTTCCATGAAATCAGACTATGCGTCCGGTCTCTTTCGGGAATACAAAAATACAACAATATACCAAACAAAACTGTTCGTAGGTGTGCTTGCCTTGTGTCCCTCGTTCGGGAGTTTGCTCCCACCGAACGCCGCTCTTCTCATACGAACGCCACGAACATACTTGGAGATGGAAGTTCCAGCGGTGTTCGCACCATCGAGTGTCCGATTTGGGTTCCATACACTCAACGACCAAACACCGCTTTACGCGTTTGCAGGAACAAGATGGCCGCCACCTCGTGTTCGTCAAAACGAATGGTGGCCCCTCATCCGACCGTTTAGAATGTTGCAGTTAACAAGCTCAATAAGGTTAATAAGCAGCATACGTCTCCCACGGGTGGTCCAAGAGTTCAGGAGTTGGTTCGGTATACGAACAGAATACTCCTGATCCATTCAGTAAGTCCTATATACCGAATCAGATAAGGGAAAAGAAACAAACAAAGCCTTTCCACGGTCCTGAATCAAAGTCTAATATATGGGCCATAGTCCTGGAGCAAGAGGCTGGCAAGCAGGCACCTCCAAGAGCCCGCGACGAGGTTCAGTTCTTCACAGAATGAATTGAGCTGTCGTAGGTTGATGACCAAACTGAAGTCTCCTGTTTTCTCTTGCACCAGGAAAATGTTGCTGAAGAAACTGTCTTCATCTTGAGCGTATTGAATCGCGACTTTTGTGAAAAGAGTTCGGATTTTGTAATCGATCAGGTCCTCGTGGTCCATAGAGGTCCACAGCGGAGGTGGTGTCTGCATCTGGTGTGGAACTCGATGATGTAACCCTAAACGGTTTGTAGGATCCATGCGTCGGATGATTTCCCAGTCTTGTAAATGAAGGGATAACCTGCCTGCAGTTAGTGTAGAGACATTTGAATGGAATGGTGGACTCACTTGTGGTAGGGCGTCCTTGACCACTGCCTTGGTAGCCTCTGGTTCTATTAGTGCCCTGGTAGTAGGAGGAGGTCCGGTTGGTGGACTTAGGGTAGAAGGCAGAAGATGGTGGGTAGGGTCTGGAGCCTACATTCCAAAATCAGCTGGTGGCTCGGCTCTGCTGCCGACCAGACCCCCTAAAAACGCTTGTCTCTTCCCCTCTGTTAGTATCCAGACTTATTAAGTTGAAAAATACATTTTCAGTCAAAATGACAAGACCAGCAGCCATTATAAAATGCAGTGGCAAAGGAGCAAGTGTGATGCTGCCAATGAGAAATGATGTGAACATGTGTTGGTGAGGATCCCTAACACTTTCCTGTGTTGTATCACTTACACAGTGCTATTTAGTTGGCTTATCCAGTTTGGATATTTTGATTTTCAATATGAAATTCACGTTGAATTCTCACCTTAATAAGAATTCAAAGCTAATTCAAAGGGAATTTTGCATTTAAAGCAAGAGTAGCCAAATTGAAAGCTTAGATGACTTGATTTTTCCATTTCAGCTTTTTTGATCTTAAATTTGAAATTCTATGTGTTCAAAGACCAATTGAACTGGTTTTAATTTACATTAATGTAAGCATTACTTTGATATTTTGTGTGTGTAATATTCATGTACATTATAATGAGTTAGTTTAAAGAGATATTTGCTAATGCATGCCATTCTATTAAAAAATATATATAAAATGTTTTCAAGTTGTAAAACTTTTTGTCTCTTAATAAATATTTTTTGAGCTTACAACTTGATTTTTCATCTTAACATTAATAATATTATCCATTAAAGTAGATGGGAAAATTGTTATGATATGCAAAGTATCCTTTTAGCCACAAGAGGGATCAGCCAGTGCTAACTCTATTTTTGGTAATAGTGCAGATCAGGCAATGTATGTTTACCTCTTTCACTGCAGAGAATAAAACAAAGAGGGCTTTATAGAAGTGTAGTAAAAAAACTAAACAAAGGTAGAAAGTTTGAACAAAGCTAAACAAAGGTGGAAACCTAGAACAAAGCTAAAGTGGAACAATTGAACTAGTTTTACAGCAAATCTTGCAACAAGAAGGGAGATTTGACTTAAATGAATGACGGTGTCAGTGCAATGGCAGGCTTCGAGGGCTGTGCTAGGCAGGAAACACAAGTCACAATGCTTATGTCAATCTCCAGTCTTTGTCACACAAAATTAAGGCAGATCAGCTCTAATTGTAAAGATCATTAACACCTTTTTACGTTATTATTTTTTTATTAGAAAGAAAAAAAGAGAAAATGGAGAGGGTAACCTGAACTAATAAAAAAAAAAATTCTATATAGGGATAAAATTAAATAGTTTAATAGGTAATAATTAAAAGTCCAAGTGGCCGGAAAAAAAAACAAGACAAACAACACTCTTATGGATCAATAATATGTGGAAAGTAAGAGTGACAAGAACATACACATAAATAAAAAATAAAAAAAATGTATAATTTATATATACACACACACATATATATATATATATATATATATATATATATATATATATATATATATATATATATATATATATATAATATATAGGTAGAAAGGATGCACTCTCCGGTCTTCAAATATTACAAAATTATTTATTCCATTACATGGTATGTTACAAATTGATCGACGTTTCAACCTGTTCGGCACCGCACTGATGCCGGAGCCAGAAGATGACGTCATCTTCCGGCGCCGGCATCAGTACGCGGCGCGCGAGGGAGCTGAAGAGGAAGTACTCAGCCAGGGAGAGTGCTCCCTCGCGCGCCTGGCCGCCGGGTGACACCACTGGACCCCAGGGAATCCCCTCAAGGAAAGAAATTTGAGGGGGGGGAGAGGAAGGACATTTGAGGGAGGGGGGAGAGGAAGGACATTTGAGGG